AATTCTGCAAGCATTGTCAATACATGCTTTATGAAATAAACGAGGTAGCAGTAATTGTTATCAGCTTCGTTGCGTTGTTTTGTGGGTTCGTTGAGCGTTTATTTTATAGTTTGAATAACTTTCAACGGCTTGTTACACTCGGGGGGATAATGAGTAATTAAATGTTACGTTGTTTGAAACCGCAGCACCGTTTGCGTTAAAATAGTAGCATCAAATTATTCTATAAAACAACAGAATATTAAAGGATTGAAATCCAAGCCATGTGCCTTATTCCAAGGATTTAAAAAAAACTTTACTACTAAACAATTTATAAGACGTGTCACTCGCTAATATTCATTCAAACACTTTTATGCTTCCCAATGGTGTTTTTTCTTAAGATTCTTGGAACAATACCAATAAGATCGGAACATTTTTCTAAGGTTTCATCGCAACATACGACCTTTTATTTTCTCACACTTTATATTTATCGCAAAATTTAGGCCCACGCGGCTAAAAACAAGCCATGTATACGCTTTCCCGGATATGATAAAATACAAGGAAATATCATTGCCAATTTCGATGTCTCGAAGATCGTCGTTTTCCTTATTTATATGTATATATTAAATACAAAATATATATAGTATATTTAAACTTACTTCGCTATGTCTGGGACAGAAAACTACTACCCAAATCTTATAAAATTACAGTACAGTTTCTATAAAACGTATTATGTATGGGATAGAAAACTACAACCCAAATCTTATTAAATTACAGAACAATTTCAATAAACCGTATCTGTTATATTGACAAATTTCAGATCTCTAGACGCTTGATTTAAAGGTCTGAGGTTCTAACCGAGCGATGGCTATGGGTGACTCTGTCATCGGCAACTCGGAAAAACCTCGAATCCAATAAATGAAGGGGTGACATATCCAATAAGGGACCCCTAATGAGATTTGAGTCTCATCAAGGCCGCGCTATGTAATCTCAAGGGTTATTGAGCCTCGCAGTAGATTAGGTAGCAAAGGTTCTAATTCAGTTATCCGTTTGCCTCAGGGTGGCGGTTAAATTAAAAAAGAGTAATGGAATAGGCGTGAAGAATTATTTGCACAGTTACGAATGTTTTCTCGGATCCATTTTCAGTAATTGTTGGTAGCCGCTCCCGTTCGAAAGGATCGTCCTTTATACGTTACATAAGTCTATTTCTGACATGCTATGAATGAAAAATTTATGTTAAAAGAAATTGCGGAAGGTAGAACACTTAACAACACTGTAGATATTACATTAGAGTGATAAAGTCGTTCTTATTTTATTTGGTTTTATATTTTGTAGCACAAAAACCAACAGTGGCTTGGTACGGTATTATATGCTTTTTTATTGTTATTAATATTTTTATAAATAAATATGAATGTTTGTGATAAAATTTCTAAGTTCTTATGCTTACTGTCGTGAATATTTGTGGCAAAAAATAAAGAATTTTTCTTTGTCTTTGTCCTCTGTACATAAACACTACATCGAACGCCGGAATTTAAATAGTACTATATTAATTAATCACACTTATTTTTTACAAGGAATGTAAAAAGAGTACAACGAAAACTAATTTATTAACTATAAGAAATTTTTTAAAATATTTAACATTATATTCTTATCTCTAAAATCAACAAGTACCTCAATGCGACAAAGAGTAACATTACATCAATACTATATAAAACTGTAAACGACCACATGTAGCACAATTTTATTTATCATCTTTCCATATAAAGGCCAGTTTAATTAATGTCATTTAGTGATAACATTGCGTACAATAAAGGAGTGGAATAATTTGCCCGCATCTCACTTCCCACCTTTTATGACTTATCTTTAAAGCAAAAGCAAATTAGGTTTTCTTATACATAAACCACTACATCATTGTTCAAAATCGAATGATGTAAAATAAGAGTCACATAATGTCGAAAAAGTCCATTCTTTATGTAATAAAAACTCTCCATTAAAAAAAACGGTCCTCAAACATCCACTTGGGCTTAAGCGCCTCAATAAACAAATTAGCGGTTTATAAAAGCGTTTTTTATTGCGGTAATTAAGGGGCATAGTTTAATGTCGAGTTTATTGTCATAGTGGAGCCTGGACGGGGCTTCCCCGAGGAGACACCGTCGGGGTTCCCTCGCTGTATTTTACAAGAGGTTTTATGGCCGCGGAGCTCGGGGATTTATTTTATGCGAAACGCTCTGATTTCCTTGTCGTCTGGGTCGCGATGAAAGTTATTTTTGAACTTGTGAGAACAGCGTTAAGGAAATCATAATCCTGTTGAAATTTTAGCAAGCAAAATATATACTCTTAATTTAAATGACAAAACCGAAATAGTGTACTCGTAAATCTCTGGAAAAATGTATATAAAAGATCTAATAATAGTTTCACAGTATGTATTTTTGTATAAAACTATGGATTTTATCATCGAAAGTATCAAAGCGTAAAAAGATTATAACTTAAGTACCTACGTCAAAATCGACGGGGTGGGTTTTATTAGATGCAACTGTTAAAGCATAGTATGACATAAAGCGTTACTAGACTACATATTAATCGATTGTGTTTCGAAGCTATGACAGATAATTTACATTGCATACAGCAACTAGATCAAGTAGCGGCATCTGTCGGAATTTCCATCAAACTACCAAGACATGGCAGAAATCAACCTCGCGCAAAGCATATTTTGTCTCGGTCGGAACTATGAATTTACACATTAGTTCGCCCTGTATTACGGACCGTTATTTATTTATTGTAGTCTTTCTATAACGAAATTTTTTTATAACGTCGAATATGAGAAATGAAAACAAATAAATAATGAGTAATATGACGTAGTCGCTTTTAACTGAATAAATATCCACGTAGTAAATTTTCAATTCATTTATTTTATTTTTACTTTTTATTTAATTTTTAATGGTATTTAAGTCGATATTATTAGTACAATGTATAGCCTCAAAAGTTATTATTATTTTTTTATTATTACTTTTACGATTTTCCCTCTTATACACTCTCTTCCACGTACAACAATCCCTCATAAGGATTTTATTACATTTTATTCTTTTTACTTCTTACAAACGACGTGTTCGTAAAAAAAAGTGTTGACAAAAAAGACGTGTTTTTGTATTTAATTTAATGATATAGGCTTTTCTGTTTTAATTAAAAACCCTTCACCTGTCTTTTCTTTATTTTCTTATACCTTTTCCCATAAATTTTCAAACTTTAAACCAATCAATTCAGCAACAAAATACCACAGGAACACGATTCCGATTATTTAACCTGTGTGTATAGGCATAATCTTACGAATAATTTTATATTAACATAATGTAATTTTATTATGTTTACCCTTTAAGTTTATACTTGTATAGAACGCTAAACTAAATTAACACTACACTATATTAGTAGGGTAATAAAGTTATTGTTAGTAAATTATCTCCGAACAATAGACCAAGTAACGCTAACTAGCTGATACGTCAGGAATCCAACGCGAGTATGCTCAACACGCTGCATTAACATTTCCAACCTGTAACTTATCGCGCACATAAATCTAACGCAATCCACTCGAAGATTGCTTATTCGCTTAGTAACTTAAAACGAACTTATCGCGAATATATATGTGTGTGTATGAGTGTATTAACAATTTTATAACTCACATAACTTCGTCCACTGTAGCGATCTTTCAGGTATTTGTCGTCAATTGAATGAGCATTATCATAAAAATTTGTAGAAAAACAGGTTTGTCACATAAACAACTAGTCATATCTAATTACACAGCGTCTGATGAGAATGTACCGAACACAACACAATTTGTTTATTAACTCTTATTCTTTTATAACAACAGTTTTAGTGAAATAATATATTCTAGGTTATTTCGTTTACAAGATTTTTTTTTTCTATTAGCTTACATTGAATATAAGTTAAAGAAAATATATAAAGAAATAATTCTCAATGGATACGATTTCAATACCATGGAATTATTAATATGGGAAGGCTATTTTGTTCCTCGTGTGTTCCAATTCGTTCAGCATGATCGTGGTTTCTACGCGGGAGACACTCATCCTTTTACAAGCTTCATCAAAGCTGGTCATTAATGACGAAAAGTGACTGATTGCTAATTAATATTTATCAGCATGGATCTTAACATTTTTCAATAATTCGCTTGCAAAGCATCAAAGTCAAAGTCAAATGACAAAATCAACATTTCTTTATTCAATACAAGGTTTTTAAGCTCTCCTTGAACGTCCAAAAACTACCAGCGGTCCACTAAATTAGAATTGTCCGGAGGGGAGCCGACAAGAAACTCTGCGGTCTTATGATTTTTTCAAAAGATATATTCAAAATCAAAAAAGATATATTATCAGCATCATTGCAAGCACTTGCAAGTGCAGAGCAAGTCATTTCCACACCTTGTCCGCAATACATTAATGAATAATACACCCGCTTTATTATTTCGTAATATTCGCGAGGCTTCACTAAAATAAATGTGGATATTGTGGAGTTTTTAATTAATCCTCTCGTCTCACGCACCCTTCGCTTTTAATCGTCAACAACCCTCGTTCACATAGAAAGCGAACGGCCGGCATTCATCGCGAGATGAAACTTTATCCCATTTCCTATCTCATCAAATCTAGCGCGCATGTTGCAAGCTTAGATGGAGTTTCAATTGACCACTATACGTAGCTATTGCCGTAAGTTGGCGTTCTAGCGGACCTCGTTGAAATCAATTAAATGGGCCGAGCTGAAACGAACTTTGAATTCGGATAAAAATGCTTTCAGCACGTGTACCGTGAATCGTTTTCCTCGTGGTTATATTTTGTTTGATAGGTCAACTGGCTATGAAACATGTATTATCTATTTCGACGTGATATCGCGTACATCAATTCCCGTGAAATTAAAACGGGCATCGCGATGTACTGGCGATGCATACGCGAACGCGCGACGCTACTAACCTACTTTCGCTTAAGCAACGAACGCATGACTCCCCATGCAATGTGTCAGCGTGGATGCAGGCCATGCGAGGGGCGCACACGTGCCGCCGTCACGCGAAAGTTGCGCCCGAACTTTCACGGCGCTACGGCCTTTACCTGTACGCCTCACGGGCCACCGATTGATCGGTGTGACCCGCGACAGCCGATAGATACTGACCGAAAGCACGAGGCGCCGCGCCGGCGTCGGCAGGCTCGGGCCGTCCACAGCACAGCACTCACACAACACTACGTGGCCGCTCGCGCGTGCACGCGTGCAACATGGCCGTGCCAGTGCCCGCGGCAGCTATCGACCGTGCGCCGGCCCGCGCCGCCCAGCGACTGACGCGCGGCCGGTGCGCGCGCAGCGGCCCGCCGGCGCCACCCCGCCCCCGCGCTCCCCGCGCCCACCAAACACCCCGCCCGCCCACCGAGCGAGGCCGCGTGCAAACAGCCGCAACTTTGGAAAAATCACTCTTGCCGCGTCGCTTGAGGCCGCTGCAGACGGCAGAATGCCGGTTACACCGATTGAGTTCGTCTAGAACATGCTGTACGTTTGATGCGTTTGATAATTTTAGAGGTTCTGAAGGAGAATGTGGCGCTGTTGTCAGCTGTCACGAGTCAGCCCGCGAGAGGGAGTCCGCGGCCCACCCCGCCCGACGAGCCTCTCGCGCGTGTTTATTTTCGGCCGCGGCGGCCGCCGCTTAGCGGCGCGTGCCACAGTTGCCATGGCAACGCGCCCGGCCGCCCGCTCGCCCGACGACGCGCGGAAACGGCCGAGAGAACGCAGCCCGCCTAAGATGCGCCGCGCTCGCGACACCCGAGCTGAGCAGAGTTGACTCTGGAATGCCCCGCGGTATTCGCTTCAATCTCTGCTGTTTTCAAGAGTCATCTTGAATCGTCTCGCTTCCAGACTCGACGACTTCCAGCCTCCCGAACAAGTCGGATTCCGAAAAGGCTTCAGTACCATAGACCACATACACACCTTGCGGCAGATTATACAGAAGACCGAAGAGTATAATCTGCCTTTGTGCCTAGCGTATGTGGACTATGCGAAAGCCTTCGATTCTGTCGAAATTTGGGCGGTACTCCAGGCTCTTCAGCGGTGCCAAATTGACTGTCGGTATATCGAGGTACTGAGGTGTTTGTATAACAAGGCTACGATGTCCGTCCAAGTACAGTCCAGTAGTACAAAACCTATCCAACTGCAGAAGGGTGTAAGACAGGGTGATGTCATATCCCCGAAACTCTTCACCGCTGCGTTGGAAGATGTTTTCAAGCTTCTGGACTGGAAAGGACGAGGTATTAACATCAATGGCGAATACATCACCGACCTCCGATATGCCGACGATATAGTCATCATGGCAGAATCGTTGGAGGACCTTGGTACTATGCTCAATGACCTCAACAGTGTCTCCCAAAGGGTGGGCCTTAAGATGAACATGGACAAGACGAAGATCATGTCTAAGGTCCATGTCACGCCTTTACCGGTTGTTGTTGGGAGCACTGAGCTCGAAGTTGTTGACGAGTACATTTACCTAGGACAGTTAGTCCGGCTAGGTAAGTCCAACTTCGACGCAGAGGTCAATTGGCGAATCCAACTCGGATGGACAGCGTTCGGGCAACTACGTCAGATCTTGTTGTCAAATATACTTCAATCTTTGAAGACTAAAGTCTTCAATCAATGTGTGTTGCCAGTGATGACCTACGGAACCGAGACGTGGTCCTTCACTGCTGGCCGTATGAGGAAGTTCAAAGTCGCTCAGCGAGCTATGGAGCGGGCTATGCTGGGTATTTCTCTGCGTGATAGAGTTCGTAACGAAGACATCCGCAGTAGAACCAAGGTAACCGATATAGCTCAGAGGATTAGCAAGCTGAAGTGGCGATGTACCGGCCATATAGCTCGTAGAACCGATAACTGTTGGGGAAGAAAGGTTCTCGAATGGCAGCCTCGTACTGGCCATCGCAGTGTGGGACGACCCCCCACTAGATGGAGTGACGACCTGTGCAAATGTGCGGGAAATCGATGGATGCAGGTGGCTCAGGATCGTACTTCGTGGCAGTCTATGGGGGAGGCCTATGTTCAGCAGTGGACTCAAACAGGCTGAAATGATGATGATGATGATTCGCTTCAAACCCGTTCTGTAGACTTTAGCTTTCGTGGGTACTTCAAAAATGTTGAACGCTTCACCCACCCGTACACTCAGGCGTTTCTTAACAGTACTAAATACTTCCTGTATTTAGATGGCTGATACTCTCCATATTTCACCGAGCTCATTAAGTCCAAAACGTGATGGGTGAGTCTATCTAACCCAAGAGTCATCCAGATCGTAGAACTCGTTTGTGAACATCAATCTGATTCCAAACCACGAATTGAATTCGCAGTTCGATTGCTGAACAAGTTCTATTCGGTATAAAATATTTGCTTGTAAGCTGGCATTTGTTTCACTTGATGTTAAGTGATTACCACAATGGACAACTAAAGACCGTAAAAAGAGTGGATTTCGATTACGCCAATACTACTACGAGGTACTGAATTTGGAATTTAAGTTACTTTCTAAATGGATTAAGTTAACTTAAACACCAAATTTTCTCAACCTATGAGTATTTCATCTTCATTTTAAGACCTTAAACTAATCTTATATACATTTACTAGCAAGCTAGGAAATTTATACAAGGTTTAAAAAAATAAAATTTATATCTGGCAACCTAATATATGTACCAACATAATAGGTTGCCAGATATATGTATAAACAAATACAAAATATTAATATCTAAAAACATCGTTAGTATTCTAAACACAATTATACGTAAAAAAAATATAGACCGTGCGCGAGGCTTTTATTGCCGCTTTATGTTTGATAATAAACGCAGTGGAATTACCCAATAGCGATCTCCTAACCGATTAATTTCAACAATGGAAGGGCGTCGCGTGTTATCAGCGATAGGATAGGCCAGCGATGATTTAAGACTAGAGTGAGTAGAGTGTCTGGGCGCTTATCAGGAAGGCGTAGGTTCGTATCCTGGCAGTGGTGAAACATTTTTTTTCAAAAAATCCAATCAAAGAAATTATAGCAAAGCAGTTACATAAACCGGTCACACATGTGAGATTTTTGGACGTAGGGTGTCCTTGAAACGTCCCACTCGGATGAGAATACGTGTCCTCTGATGTCTGACAAACTAGACCAACACTTCTTTTTGAAGTGAAACTTCTTTATCGGGGTTGGAAAAAATTTAGTGTAACATTTTTGCGTTACGCGCCATCTTTTTCTTATCTTAAAATGTTCATCTAACGCCATCTAGTGTTGAATAGGGGGTCTTATGTCGTCTTTATTCTTTAGTGGTTTTAATAGTTGACGCTAAATGGCGTTAGTTCCTTTGTGTGTTCATAACAATATATATATATGTTATATTAAAGTGATCAGCAAAATCAAAGGGTTTATTTTAATTCTAATTCTAAAATGTAAACAATATATTTCGTATTTCAGTTACCATAAGCCATTAATAACACAAATATATAATAACGACATCAATGATAGTAATAATTCTATTACAATTAATGAAATTCAATAATAATATTTGTAGTAATGACAGTGCTAGCTCTAATACTTCAGAGCACGACACTGTAGAGACTTCCTCTTCTCCAAAGGCAGGCACCGCCCACCGTGACCTGACTGCGCCTTCCACCGAAGACAGAATCTGAAGCTGACCGATGATGCTCTTCGAAGCCTCGATCGGCTCCTGGAACTTGCGGTTGCGACATCGATCCAACGTCCGCAAGTTCGGTTTTCCAAAAAAACTTCACTCACAACACTCGCGCGCGAGTCTCGAATGTCTGCCTTCTACTCACTGGCTGACTATTCGGCAACGAAGGACCATGTATAAATTCAAAGCGGTTGTATTTTGGTTCCGTGAGGTTAATTGAAATAAACAAGGTTCACGTTGCAAGTTTTTTAATCAACAATTTTTGCGGACCCTCATACTAATTACAACGGTCAAACCATAGTGTGTTTTAATTTACTACTAACGCCACCTATGTATTACAAATAAGAAACTAAATATTATACAAAGCTTAAATGAAATAATTGTAGAATTTGTATTTACGTCTATGATAATAAAAGCCTTTTATTAAACTTTATCTAATTTAACTTTATTTAACCAATTTCTGTAAAGTTGCATATAGTAAATTATTTTTTGAAAAATAACGTCATAAAAAAGTTGCACTTCTTACGAGTGTACGCTAGTTTTTTATCTGAAAGTTGACAAAGAAATACGAACCAGGTGGTTCATCTGAACGAACTGTCAAATGATTACGACACCCAATGTGTTGCAGATGTGTTACCAAAGTATAATACTTACACACCACGACTGGACGACCCTGCCCATTTATGCAACAGCAGAAGCTGCTGCATGACCTTACCCCAGTAAAAATAGACGTACCTATATCATAACCTAAGACCAATTTGCCATTGTAGATGTTTACTTGCGAAAATCGACAGTGAATGCAATACACATATGCAAATATGCAATACACAATACACTTGCACTACATTACTTCCACAAGTATACATACTATAGAAAGCATGAAATTATCGACCATAACTCCTTAAAGAAAGTAAGGAAGCGCTGAATAAATAAGAAAGGATTATTTGTTACTGTTAAATGAATTCTATATAAGGGTGAAATAAGCTATTGACTCTAGTTTCTCATTTAATAGACTTACATAATGGCTCTAAAATCTTTTGCTTTTACGGAGGATTCCACTTTACCAATCCTTGACTTTTTCCACTTATAAAGAAATCGTAGAAATGGGTAATAAGTATTAAGACAATCACACTTTTTCCACGTTTAAAAAACTCACATGTGTTAAGAAAATGTTGATAATAAATATTAAGACAATCGCAATTTCCAACGACCTGCAAGTAAACATATTGCTGTAAACAAACGAAGGCAAAGTTTACACGTCAAGTTAAAGACACCGCGATCAAGTTGCAACTTTGTAACGAATCACAATGCAGTTGCTTAGTTAAGTTAGCTACAGGACCGAATTAATTAAGCAACCAAATGTATTCAGATTGGACATCCAATTAACGGTCATGGACGCGGCCGGCGTCCCGATTAAGACAGCGGATCCCTTTGATAATATTTAATAGGGCCAAATCCAACTGCGGCGGTTGTTAACTAATCATTATTTATTAATGTAAGTGGATGTACATGTCCTGCCCTCAAACGTTACTATGCTACTAAGGATATTCAACATGTGTTTCCCAGTCCGGTTAATATAATATAAATTATAAATAAAAGTCCTAAGAGTACCAACAAGTGAATTGACTAATTTAATATAGGTAATACTTACAAAAGGAACCCAACATATGTGGATACATTACCCTAGTTTTGAGACCTTTACATCGAGTAACAAATTAATTTTATAATTTAATTAAAATCATGCAACGTACATCTACAAATGAACAATTGCATACCTTTCATCGTCTGTAAAGACTAAAAGTTGTTAATTAATAAATCATTAATGCCTCCAACATTTCCAATAAATTTCATATCGCGACTGATATTAAAAATGGCTGCAATGTAACAAAGGACCTTTTACGTGGGTTTAATAAAGTTCGTGGAGATTCAATTAGCTTTGTAGTCGGTTATAAAATTTCCAATAGTGAGTGAAAAGAGTTACAAGAACACATTGTCAAAGACTGTTTCGACGAAAACGTGAAGTTTAATTTACAATTAAAAACTTGCAACGTGTTTTTTCTAACCGGAGACCATTTCTGCAGAGATAAAAAAGCATCTACCTAATTAGATCCAGATAGCAAGTGCTATCCATTTGTAAGCGAACTTTTATGTCACTAGGTGACAGTTATCAGGCATGTCACTAGTTACCAAGCACAAAGAGCTACATGTATTCAACGTCCTCGTCACAGATGCGTATAAACCTTCTCCAAATAAAGTGGCGAACACAACGACGGCGACTCAAAACTTACATGAAATCGACGAAAACTATAGAAAGCGGCCTGTTTCAAGGGAAATGTAGTGTGGGACGTCCTGCGGCACGATGGACTGACGCCTTAATAAATGTGCGGGTTACCCAGGACCGGGATAGTTGGCGCGCTTTGGGGCTTGCGTTCATCAGTGGACGGCAATAGGATGATATTGTACGTCTATAATTTCAAATACCTATCGCTAGTAACCAAATCTATCTGTAGATAGTATATTGAAACCTAGCCCATGAAATATTGATCTTACCTCTGAGCTGCGGCACCATAACACCAGCTTTCCTGATCGGCTTCGTCTGTTGGCCTTGAGAAGAGACGTTATATATCTTATAATTTTCTATTGAGTCATATTATTATTAAGTTTAAATGTTTTATGGCGCTTATCTCTGCACTTAAGATTAAGCATTAAAATTTGTAAAAACTAAGGATTGATCAAAACAGCCGTACAAGCTGCTGATTTTCACCGCTATACAAAATGCATGGTACTATTTAGTTACTTTCGAGAAAAGACCAGGTTCCTTGATAAAAGGCCGCAAACATTTTTGCAATTTATTTTATTCTAGCGACCCGCCCTGGCTTCACGCGGGTGCAATGTATTATACATATAAACCTTCCTCTTAAATCACTATCTAGTAAAAAAACCGTATCAAGATCCATTGCGTAGTTTAAAAGATCTAAGCATACATAGGGACAGACAGATAGCGGGACGACTGTTTTATACTTTGTAGTATCTTATTTACCTTATTTTTTTTATAATTGCATTGGCAGGTTCACGCCATCGTGGTCAGGTCAGCTAGAGGACGTGGTGTGAGACCAAGGCACGGGAAGAAGGCCTTCGCGTGCAACATTCCCCCTGGTATGTCCTGGATGACTAATCACTCAGAGAGAGTCCTGAGAAGACCATGGTCGTGCATCTTCGATGAAGGCTACGTCTTCGACCTATGTCCCCGGGCGCTGCAGGACAAACAGGTGAAACGTGGGCGCATCATCAAGGGTTTTTCCACTTACAAAAAGATGGATACCGAGAATGCATAAAATCAAGCGAGCTTGTAAGTTTCTTACCTCTAGAACTAGGATAATTATATGAATCGAATTGTCACAGAAGAAGTTAAACTTGGGTTCATTACAATAAAGTGGTAAATTACATTTATAGTCTCTCGTAATGGTTTTTAATATTTTATTATAAATAGTAACATGCCAATATTGGGAAATTTATTGTGAAACTTATACGGGGTTGGTAAAATTAAGCCTGGATCTTTTTAATAAACTTATACGATCAAATTTATAAATTAGTAGTTATTACTATTACGTGAGTATATATCCCTAAAATGCTGTGCGACTCGCGTGCTTTTAAGATGTACTCAGCTCGAATGGTTTTTTTTGAAAAATAAACATTGTCTGTTCTAGGATTTCAGAACACTTTACGACGTCATACTATGAACGTTAGACAAGTAGACTAGTTAAGTTGTTGCCTTACGATGGACGTTAACAATTAAGTACTTATTTATGAGTTACACATTAACATAGCAGTTTGTTGCGAGACCTTTTCACTAGTTCTACAGTAACACAGTTTTCAAAACGCGATGAGGAAACTTACAATCAACATTTGTATTTGTTTAGGAAACTAATATTATATAATAAAAATGTATTTTTTGGAAAATTTCAATAAGCCGTAACAATAAAAGCGTTGAGAATATGCATTGAAATGTTGAAGACAACCAGAGTCGATCTACTAATTCTCGTAAAACATGTGCAATTATAAACCATTATTACTATAGTCTTTTTAAACTTAAGGTTTTGATGAATACTTAAAAACATTAAAACTTAAATTAATTGTTAACCGAAACAAATCAAGCGCACCTCTCATCGATGCATGTACCAGCTGCTATATTTTGATTTATGTCCATAATAAATTTCATCTGAAAATGTTGTCAGTGAGCCAAAATATACATTAAAAATTAATTATGATTGATTACAACCGCCGGTGCGGACGAAAAAATTTCATTACAATTAAAAAAAACTGGAAACTTCAAAAACACTATGTTCACCACAGTTTTCCAGTAGATTTTCGTCAGTGTGGTAATCAGCTATTAGGCTTAGTGGTCAAATCGTCTGGGCGCGAGTCCTGAAGATTTGGGTTCGATTCTCACAATGATGAAAAACTTTTTGTACGATTAGTTAGGTTCGGGTATGCACATTTTATATATAATAATTTTAATATAATCTTAATTGATGACTGCGCGGCCAAGGTATTGGCTTCGGCGTCGGAGGTCGTGGGTTCGATTCCTGGGATTAATGGGAAAAGAAATTAATTTGTTCAAATAGGTTGAAAATATTTACCAACGCGCCACAATATAATCGTAATTCAACTGATAACGTCGTTTTTAGATTTTTTTATTAAATAAATCACACATATTTTTATCTAATGTAAATATCGTTAGACTAAAAGTAAGTCAGGTAATTGAGAAATCACGTGGGTTCGGCAAAGCAACTCACATTTGTGTCATTGATTTCTCAAAAGCTTTCAACTCCGTAAAATGGCCAATGCTCTGGAAGTCCTTTCTTGAAATGGGTCATACCCATCATACCATAGCACCTTGTTGTTGAGCATCTGCTCAGATGTTTATATTGTTACTATCACTTTATTACAAGCATTTTGTTAGTATTATAGTTTCAAGCCTTCGAATTTCTCCATTCAGGCAATACATCAACAGTTAAAACGAATTTTTTCGACTCTTATTCATTATGACGATCACTGTCAAAGAGAATGTAATCACTACGTAATGACGATCACTGTGTTGAAGTCTTGAATATCAACATCTCATCTTGACAGTTTTAATTGTGCAATTGATTTTATTTTTAATCATTAGTCGAGAGTCAAAGAAGGTCCCTATTTCGGAACTCTTTTTGAATAGACGATCTAAATTCAATTTGCTTCTAGGACGGTTTAAACGAAAGGAGGTTCGAAATTCGGGCTATTAAAAGCGCTCGGAGCACGTTAGGCGCAGTTAATAAGTTTGTAAGTGCAGGAAATTGAGGAAGAAGAAAGGTGAAGAATAAAAGGTAAAATGAAATATTTTTAATTATATATAAGTATATACATATACAAGAATTGGTCGTTTAAAGGTATAAGATTATTATGTGTTTATACGTGTGTATTTAATAATTATTATTATTATGAATAGATTTTAATCGTTATAGTTATTTAATCATCCTGGCTTTATAGCCTTGCCTGCCTATATGACCTTAACAAACACCTATTGTATTTCGTTTATAGATAATTACTGCTTAATTAGGTGCCACACATTTTGTACAAATGCTCATCATTTTTTTTTGTAACTACCTTGTATTTCATCACTTTTTTCAAGCGACTTCAGATTATATGAATGCTCCCAACGTGGTCCTTATTAATTTCATTGGTATAAGATCCTGGGCTCCGGAGATACTTTGGGAAGTCCCTAAAAAAATGTGACGGGGAATCAAACCCGAATTATCGTTGTAAAACGTTATTTGAAATTGTTTAGGGGTGGAGCCCATGCTATAATGAATAAAGCTCGTTCATAACACACAAACGTTTATTTATTGCAGCCGAGTAAAGTTCAGTTTTAAAATCCTCACAAATTTGCCATTTCGAAAACGGGAGCCGAAATTGGAGCATACCGGAAAAGCGCACACCGCGGCAACTCCAAGCGTTTGACGAATTTGGTAGGCGGAACATTTTTATGCGCAACGCTTTTGACCTACAAAGTCCCGCGTCCCCGCGCACCTCGGCTTTTCGGTCAAAGGACAGGCAATATCGCTGAGGAGCGTCTTCATCGATATACGAAACATGACATTCGTGATATTCAGCATCTCCGATACAATATAACCCGTATATTTAAATTCCCGTGCGAAATTAAATGGTTATAAATACCCGTCTGATAAACATAGTGTAAACAAACGCTAACGAAACGGAAACGGACTTGATGTAATCACTATATTGAATTTATAATAAGAAGGTTTTAATTTTTACGTTATAACACATAGATTTAAATTCTTGTGCGAAATTTAATGCATATATAACGTGTCTGATATACATGTCATGATGACATAGTGGTATGGTAATCAAACGTTTTCGAAAACGGATTTAATGTTGATATATTCACGATATTGAATAATATACGAAGAAGTGTTTTTATTTTCACTGACATGAATTTCGTCTAAACAGTGAGGTAACTTGGCCCACTCTTTTAAAGGCTTGTAACGCAGCGCTTGGCGGCGGTAATCACTTAACATCAGATAAACCGAAATTTCACACAAAAAAAATTACGAACAATTCATGGCTGACTAATAAACCTATTGAAAAAAACAAATGCGTCCACCAGTTACATTTTCCTCCTTACTTCGAAAAGGATATGAACAACCGCGAATACGATTTATTTGCAACACGTAATATCAATTCCAAGATTCTTGTGTCTAATGCAATTTGCTACTTCACCGCTGGCTCAAAAGACTCATTACGATAGCGGCTCCGCGGATAATGGATAAAAGTACAGCGAGCGGCAGACAAATAATAATTTCATACCACGTCGCTGAATGTACCGCACTAACTAATGCACACTCGCATTGAAGCCGGCTCTGCACTTTTACGCAATGTTAGCTCTTTGTTAATTAATGTTAGCTTCAATGCGAACACTGTAACACACTTTTTCCGCAGTGCGCTACGCCGGGTACTTGCAAGTAGCGAAATGCGGTGACCGCATACATATATTCCAAACGTGTACGGGATTATTTTCATCGAGTCACTAAATATCTATAAACGACAATATAATATATATAATAAAATATGTATAATATTACTTACTTAAATGATATTACACGTTTAATTAGCTTACTTACTCTTGGATGCATCTAATTAATTAACTACTGTGGCATACGATATAACTTAAGCGCATCAAAACGATTTAGTGTTCATAGTTTACTTACATTTAAATTAAACATACTTGCATTTAAATTAAACTTCAAAATATTTTTGTTCAAATAGACGCTTGCGCGTTCTTATGAAACGAACATACATAACTATGTTCGTAAGCAAGCTATCACCATTTGCAAGTACCTATTATCGTTCAATATAAATTATCATGACTACACGTTATATGTTACAGGTAAAATACACAATAAATGTGCAGTTTTATTCATATTTGATTTATATTCACCCCCTCTCCTTTTCAGAATTGAAAGCCACCGTATATTATCGAGTTATACTTGATGGGGGTCTAATATAAACGACATCAATTTAATCAACTCCCTGTGAGTGTTTTACTTGTAACTATACATTATATACTTGTGAAAGTATATATTATATATTCTAAACTTCACAAACAAATGTTTTATATGTTAAATACTTCGTATCCTTACATTCAGTTAGAGTAAAACTTTCTGCATATAAAGTTACAACTGGACAAAAATAAAAAAGAGACACATAAAATAACTTTTCAAGATAAGGCTAGGCAGTATAACGATAAAAAATATGCTCAATCATATTCTACTAATTTCTATGAGTAAAATTCGCTAGATCTACTACCATAAACTTCAGGCCTTTCTTATATAGGTAGTGATAGCTCGCACAACCAAATAGTTATTTTTCGCCTACTATATATGTGTATGTAAAGTCAACGGCATCACGCTCCGTACAGAATCCCGGTAGCCCGTAGGTGACATTCCTCCCTAAGGTCGTGAGATCTGGCTATCCAACGAGCGCAATATTCGATGGAGCTTCGTCTTCTTCTATATCCTACCCTTATCTCTAACTAGGTAATATAACAACATGTCCTTTTCTCGCAACAGTCTTCGCGACGCAACGAATGGGTAGGTCCGCCCGGGTAAATAACACGACCTCAAAGAAGACCGGCGTGAATTGGAAGCGTTATACTTCTGCGTTTCGTCTGGTGAGTGAGGTAGCTTGGGCCCACTTTATCAAAGGTGGCAACGCATCAGCAAACCTACGGATGTTGATGAGCGGCGGTTATCAATTAACACCAGGTGAACCGCCT